CTCTGGGGAGATCTGACGATGTGGTTGTGACCATTGGAGTTTTCAGGACACTGCTGATGAGATATTAAGCATAGTGTCATTTTTCAGTGATGTTGCAGGTGTGTGCTGACTAGCACTTTGGAGACTGCATGCTTATCTGGCATGTACATAACAGAACGAACTGTGTGTTCCCTTTCTGATGTTCCGGGTAGCAGTTTCGCCCCTTTGGACAGTTAGCACAGTAAGCTTTATCATAGATTAATATCCATAGCTACATAGTGATTTTAAATCTGGAATAAACCTAGGGTGGGGGAAAGAAGAAAAACGTCTCTTACAAAAACAGTGAAACTTTCTCAGGGTGCCTTAAAGGTTTTCAGGAATTTGTCTGTTCTTGCTGCCTTTTTCACATAACATTTGAACAAGGAAAAAGATTTTTATAATGTACTTGTTAATGATTGCTTACAAACAAACCCCAGGGACCTGACTGGAATTAAGGGGAAATACTTGGAAAACTCTGTTTCTTTCTTTGGTTTTCCAGATTTATCTGCCTTGGAAGGCTCAGGAGAGTTTCCCCTTGTTTTTACCTTTGCACATTAGTTATTCACGGTACTTCTCTCCATATAGACACCATTACTGCCAACGAGAGCCATCGTCTGAGATGCTGAGGTTGCTTGCATCCCTCGAGGTATCAACCAAAAAGGGAAAGCCAGTTCCCTATCAAAGGGGACTTGTAAAGCTAGCAGATCAACTTATATAAATCTGGTATTTACTTGCATTTAAGCAAGCCGTGTTTCCAGAGCTTCAAGGTTAAACCAAAAGGAAACATTTCTCGACTGACAGTGTTTTCATTGCAGGTTTTAGCTTATGGCCGGTGGCACAGCGGTGATGCAGTTCTCTGATGCTGGGACGCCTGGGAAGGTCTCCCAGTGCATGCGGGGCGCTCCTGGGCCTTGATCCTGGCTGGCTGAGGCTGAGGGTGGATTGCAGTTTGAAGACCCTGTTAGGAGTGCCTGCTTTTTCTCCCTCTTTCCTTTCTCTCTGTCTTATGGAAGAGAGAAACTTTTTTTAAAAAAAGAAAGAATGCTCCAATTTGATTTTGTCTTTTCTTCTCAGTTTCTGGTTAAACACTTCTGATAGGCGCTCCAGGCAGGTGATGTGTACTTCGCACGGGGTTCCATCAGGAGGTCCATTAGTATCAGTTCGTCACGTTCTTGGTGGTACAGAGTTTGATTATGATGCAAATCACCTGTTATGGGGCGATCAGTAAAATTACTGTATGGAAATATTTTTTTTCCTTGCTGTAGGGTGCCTGTGCTTGCCAGAGACAGAGATACAGAGAGAGAAAGAGACACAGAGCTGAAAAGTGAGAAGTCACCGTTATGGGACATGCCCACATTGCAGTCCCTTCTCCTCCAGCCCCTCTTGGGATATTCTCCATGTATGCACACATGTTTTTCAAGCTTCCGGGTGTGGGACCAGAACCGCGAAGTCAACCATGTGGGATCCAGCTGTCTTAACCCCCACACTACTGGTTGGCCTAAAACAGCCTTTTTAAATAATAAGTAATCTGTGGAGTGGCACTTTGAGAGTCTTTGGCTGTACTTAACAAGTAACCTTTCACCCTGGAAACCAGGGTTTCCCCAGAAGCCTGTTAATGGGTGTCAGTATATCTCGGAAGCCCCAAGAAATTTTTGTGTATGTGGATATTTTCCCAGGGATACAGAATGACTCCCAGAATACGTAAAGAGCTTCTCCCTCTGTTGTTGACTCCCACAAGTTTGTGTGTCGTAAGCAGCGGTCTCTAGAAGCCGGGAACCGACCTCGTCATCTCATTTTCCTGATTATCTAGCCCAGCAGTATGTAGGTACTTAATTTTTGTTGTTTGAGAACAGTTTGTTCTGGCCTTTCACTTACCCTGAGCCAAACATTTGGATCTTTTCTGTTTGGTATAAACTGTACTAGAAAATAAAGCAGAGGGGCTTAGCTCTTGGTTTTTGGTGTTCTCTTTGAAGATTTTTAGGCGTCACCGTTTCATTTGTACCTCTGTTGACACCGAAGTAAACTTAAGTCTTTTGGAAATGAGTTAAAACACTGCAATGTATGTTTTAGTTGTCTACTTATTAGTATCGGTAAGATGTTACTACAAATGCAAAGTACCTCGGTCTGTGGAGACTAGAGGGTCCAAGAGGAGGCTTGAGGGGGCATTGAATCTGTTACTTGCTTGTGTGGAATAGCTCCGAAGTGTCCGATCCCCGGTTTTCCCCGCATAACAAGAGAGCCTGTGGAGTGAATCATGGCAGCAGCCAGCTGTGCTGCATTTAGCTCTTGACAGCCTCTCGGTAGTACTGGGTTACCTTGCTGGGTCGCCTTGCGTGGAAAGTATCTCAGGTGGCTGACAGTAATAAGCTACCATTCGGATGGCATCATTTTTCCATTGCCAGAGGACGTGTGCTTGTGAGAGAGAGAAAACCCCAGCCCACTCCCCAATGGGACATGGTCACACCACAATCCTGTCTCCTTCATTTCTTCATCCCCTTGGGATTTGAGGGTATATATATATACACATACACATCTGGCTCCCTATGCACAGTGCCTACCCCTGCCCTATCAGACTGGCCCAGTGTACTGTTTTTAAAGTTGATTTTATTTGTAATACTGAGTTTATGACCCTTGAGAGGGTATTTCGCACCACAGTCCCCTGTCCGCAGCCCTCTAGCTTGTCAGAATCCTGAATTTGCCCGTGCCCTCCATGTTTTCAAGCCAATTTGGGAATCCAAACCAGTTAGCCACATGGATTCCAACATTGCTGTTCATTTTGCTACCAACTCTAACAATGGTCTGGCCGTAGTAGCATCCTTTAAAAATATGTTTATGCCACTTAATCTGAAAGATCACCATGTGAAAGTAGATTTTTTTAGTTTTTGTTTGTTCGTTTGGCTGAAGGGTGCGTATGCTCACCAGAGAGAGGGGAGAGGAGAAAGCACTTGCCATAGAGAATGTTCACTCCACAATCCCTTCTTTTCTATCTTTCCCTCCTTTCTGGATCTTGGGCACACATGCCTGGCGTTTTTCTTAGGCCATTGAGGCTAGGATTCCAACTGCAGTTAGTCATGTCCGATCCAACTAACTCTACCACCAGGCTGTGGTGCCAGCCTGGAATTAAATTTTTAAAATGTTTTTAGAGGATTATTTAATAGAAAGAGGGAAAGTGAGAAAGTAAGCTCCCAGGTCCGGGACTCGAACTGTCATTCTCCATGTCGAATCCAGCACCTTAACCACTATGCCATCTACCAACCCTGAAAGTAAATAGTTTTATTCCAATTACACAGGTATGGGGAAAAAAGACTTAGAGAAGTTAAAGTAGCCAACATCAAACAGCTTATTCTTGGAGCAGAAGAATAAACCCCCAAGAGCTATTCCAAATTCCTTGCTCTCTCTGCCTCACCATTCTGAAAGGTGAGAGGTATTGTAGGAAATCTAGCTTGGCCTTTGTTCTTAAAGAATTTTTTTTTAAATCTTAAAAGTGTGTCTTACAGGGCTGGCAGGTGGTGGGTGTTTGGGACACTGAATTCACACGTGGCTAACTGTGGTTCGAGTCCCAGACCTGGTGGCTTGTTTTCTCACATTCACAACTTTCTCTCTCTCTCTGTCTCTGATCAAATTAAATAATAATAACAAATAATGCTTTTTTTATTTAAGGTGTGTCTTATAAATACAGAGAACAAGTTGAGGGAATAACTAAGTAAGTATAGAATAGACAAAATGACCTCTAAATGTAGGGCCACAGTTGAGGGAGGGAGCATTTGAAGGGCAAGAATATTTTAGGAAGAAGAGAGTGACCAAAAGTGTGATAAGGGAAAGCGCAGAGCTTGTTAATAGGAGAAGTGAGGTCTAGTTTGGCTAGATCGTGAGCTGGATGAGAGAAAATTAAAAAAAAATAAGGGTGGAGCCAGCAGGTGGTGTAGTGGTTACGTCGTTAGACTCCCACATGGCCAACTACGGTTCGAGACCTGGACCTGGTGGCTTAAAAATCATACTGGGTATGTGTGCATGTGTACCTAAGATCCCAGGAGGAGAAGGGAATGCAGCATGGCCATCCCTGGGGTGGTGGTGGGGGGTAATTTCTTGCTTTCTGTCTTTCTAACAAGTGCAAATGCCCCATAGCAAAAGATCTTTCTCAGAAAAAAAAAAAAAAAAAAAAACCGTAAGGAAAGCTACTTCTGAAAGATATGTTAGCGTTAGATTGTGACAGACATTGACTGCCGTAAGGTAGAACCTCATTTTGTAGGTATTTTGTGCAGTTGTTGAAAAGGTGGCCCTACAGACGACCCAGTAGTGTTGATAAATGACTACATTTTCAGTTAGGAGTGTGTGCTGCTGTCTCCCCACGCGCTCTCTAATTAAAGCCTCACTGTGGTCCTGGTGCAGGCCTGGTGCAGTGCCCGTGTCCGTTTTACTGGTGAGAAACCACGGCTCAGCCTTAGTTCACGGCCAACACTTAGAGCTCGAGCTAGGACTTAGACGCCAGTCTCTCCAGTTCTGAAGTCCGTTCTGTTTACTCCCCTGGCACTGGGTTGTCAGAAGTCATGACTCACTTTTGCATAGAAAAACACGTCACGACTTTTCCTACAATGTAATATATTGTCACTTCTTTTATCAGAGTACTTGATAAATCTTAGTTCTCCGTCAAGACTATGTCCAGAGGAAAAGGATGCTTTTACAGCCCTGAGAGGACTGCTTCTCACTGTGTCGTCATGTTAATACACTCACTACCAAGCCTCACTTGTACTGCTTTCTAATTTGGGACTAGAACTAGTTGGGAAATGGAAGAAATTGGACGGTGTTATATTTGTATGTCTGATGACATCAGTATAAGTTCATAGCAAATACGTTTGTTTTCATTCTCCGTGTTTAACCTTATTGGCCCTATGTAAACGTTACGTCGGGTAAAGCTCACTTTACAGAGGTATTTAAGTTGTATAAAGAAGTGATATTTTTCCTAGCTAAAATACGTTTCTTCTCGGCAGGCTTTCTGCTTATAAAAGACAATGACTACTGATGAAGGTGCTAAGAACAATGGAGAAAGCCCAGCAGCCGCTGTTGCTGAACGGGGAGAAGATATTACCTCCAAGAAAGACAGAGGAGTACTGAAGGTGAGGCTGCAGAGATGAATGACATGGGGAGACTCAGGAACATCCGCTATCTGGAAAGATTATTTGTAAAAACCTTTTTGGGGAAGGGAGGTCTGAGGATGTCTGATGTTTATTGAGGCTTATTATGTATCAAACATAAACTGTAAGTAGATGCCCTTTTTCATAACTCAGATTTTAATTTTTAATTAAAAATTATTTATTTAATTCCATTGTTGTTGTTGTTGTTATTATTATTTCATTTACCAGAAAGAGAGTGAGAGAGAAAGGGAAAGTGAGAAAGCATGTTGCCAGGTCCAGGACTTGAACCTTGGTCGGCCATGTGGGAGTCCAGTGGCTTAACCACCATGCCACCTGCCAGCCCCAGATTTTTATTTTTAATGTCAGATTATTGATGGTGAACTAGGTAAATTAACTTGCCCAATATCAATAGCTTAGTAAATGCAGTTCCTGAGGCTCAGGCCCAAGTTATGTCTGACTTCAAAAGGCTATACTCAGGACCAGCAGTTAGCGTAATGGCTATGTCGCTGGACTCCCACGTATTCGACCGCGGTTCGTGTCTCGGACCCAGTGGCTTAAACTCACACTGGGCACGTGTGCATGCATGCCCAAGATCCCAAGAGGAGTATGGAGGAGAAGGGATTGCAGCATGGCCATCCCTCCTGGGGGGTGATTTCTCACTTTCTGTCTCTCTGTCTCTGTCTGTCTGGCCAGTGCACACGCCCTATAGCAAAAACCTCTCCAAAAAAAAAAAAAAAAAAAGACTTATACTCCCTAGTCTCAGAATATGCAAATAATTACTATTTAATACAGATGTCCTCAACTATGACAGTTCAACTTACAGTTTTACAACTTAACAGTGGGTTTATCAGTATGTAACCCCATGGTAAGTCAAAGAGCATCTGTATATAATTTCGTCATAGTAAAGCTAGCTAATGACAGTTTTAAAGATTTTTTTTTTAAAAGAAAAGAAAGTTAGCATGTAAAATTCAAAAGCATTTATTTTCACATAAATTGAATGATCCTATGTTCAGTGAAGATATTTTTTTAGGTTTTATGAAAGAATATATTAGCTTTTCTACTTACTAAAACACTGTATTGGGCTAGCTGGTGGAATGGTGGTTAAGGCAGGTGGATCCCACATAATTGACTGTGGTTTGAGTCCTGGACTTGGAGGCTTAAGAAACACTGAGCACATGTGTGTTACTGCCCAAAATCCTGAGAGGAGAATGGAGGAGAAAGAGATTTTGGTGTAGTCATCCTCCCTGGGAGTGTTTTCTCACTTTCTTTCCCTCTCTCTGTGCCCTTCTGTCTGTCTCTCTCTCCAGCAAATATATGCCCTATAGCAAAATTACAAAAAAAGAAAGAAAGAAAAGAAAAAAATCCACTATGTATATTTTTCACTCTGTAGTTAGTTATTTTCACATTTTTAAAAAAATTTGTATCTCACAATACAATTGTGAGACAATCTGAGCACCTTTATTCTTTTTATTTTTTTTATTATATATTTTTTAATAGTTTTGCTATAGGGTGCGTGCACTCAGCAGAGAGAGAGAAATCCCCCCGCCCCTACCCAGGGGGATGGCCACCCTTCTCCCTTCTCCTCTCAGGATTTTGGGTGCACACGCACGCATACATACTCAGCTTGTTTTCCAAACTGTTGGGTTCAGGACTTGAACCATGCAATTGACCAAGTGGGATCCAGCCTCCTTAACCCCCGTGCCACCTGCTGTCCTCTTTATTCTTTCATTTTATGACTGAATAAGCTGAAGCTGAGAGAAGTCAAATGGCTTTAGTCACATTAAATAGTTATTTCTCTACATTGTTGTTACACATCTAAGTTTTGTGCTATTGAGTTAAATTTTGTTTTGTCCTAATCCTGAAAAGATTATTTTATATTTTCTAAATATTACTGCTATGCAGAGCTGTAATTTCAGTTTGTTTTGTCTAATCTTGCTTACGTGAAAACCTGTGGTGCCCAGCTTTCTCCTGAATAGCATGTTATCATGTATTACTGTTAGCTTGATATGTGCCAGTTTTGGAGACTGGCAGTTATAGAACGTGGGCTTCTGTGTGTGTGTGTGTGTGTGGCAAGAGGGTGCATGTGCTGGCCAGAGACACAGAGAGGGTCGGGGAGAAAGCACCCTTCAATTGAGCACAATCACACTACAGTCCCCTCTCTTCCATTACTCCATTCTGCCGGGATTTGGGGCATACACACAATACATGCTCTGTGCATGTTTTTCAAGCCGCCAGAGCCTGGATTTGAACCACTCAGTTTGCCATGTGGGATCCAGCTCCCTTCACCATCAGGGCACAAGGCCAGCCCAGAATCTGTGCTTTATAGCATAGATTTATATCATAGTATCTTCTTTCAGAGGGCTTTTCAACCTCGTTGCTATATATATATATATATATTTTTTTTTTTTTACAGTAATATTTTTAAATTTAAATTTATTTATTTACGGGACCAGCAGTTAGCGTAATGGCTGTGTCGCTGGACTCCCCCGCAGGTGACCCAGTGGCGAGCACACGCGCCCTATAGCAAAAATCTCTCCAAAAAAAAAAATTATTTATTTGCATTCATATTACTTTACATCATTATAGCATACAAAATGAGATTTTCCATCCAGAATACACTGTATATTGGCTCTATCAAGCACATCGACATATGTGTTATCGTCAACAAATAATTTTCCATTTCTTGTTTCCTGTATATTTTGCTTTTTCTCCCATCCTTGATTCCCTATCTCTCATCCTCTGCCATCTCCTACCCTCTTCCCACACTCTCTGGTATCCATGGTTGCTTTCTATGCCTTCCCCCCTACACATTTCATTGATTCACTAAAGATCTTAATCTTAATATAAATATTAATTAAATTAATAATTAATTAAACTAAATTAAATCTTAATCTAAATATTTTCAGTAGCAAGCACAGTTGATAAATATATATATATCCATGAACACAAGTTTGACTTTAGGCATAAACCACAGTGAGTAGAATGAACATACTATAAAGTAGCACCTAGCTGGGGCTATATAGCTTACTGCAGTCATCAAAGAGATATTTCTAATGCTTTTTGTTTTTTTAATTTAAAGGAAAACAGTTTTTGTGGGTTTTTTTCTGAAACTTTTTAAAAATTATTTATTCTATTTGTTATTATTATTAGTTTTTAATTTGACCAGAGAGAGACTGAGAGAAAGAGAAGGTGAGAAAGAAAGCTGCCAAGTCTGGGACTTGAACCGAGGTCAGCCATGTGGGAATCCAGTGCCTTAACTATCACACCACCTGCTGGCCCACTGAAACATTTTTTTAATCAATTAGTTTACATTCATTCCCTGAGCATTGTCACAGCATACAAAATGTGATTTCCCATCCAGAATATACTGCATAGTGGCTTAATCATGCATGTTATCGTCAGTAATTTTCCATTTCTAGTTTTTAGTGTATACACACACACACACACAAACACACACACACACACACATACATATTTTTTAACCCCTATTTCTGACCCTCTGCCCTTTCCCACCCTCTTCTCCCACTATCTCTGGGGTCTACAGTTGTCTTCCATTCCTTTCCCCCTGCATTTTATTGATAACACAATTTCTTAAATAATCTACTTTTGGGACCAGCAGTTAGCGTAATGGCTATGTCGCTGGACTCCCATGTAGTCGACGGTTTGCGTCCCGGACCTGGTGGCTTAAAACTCATGCTGGGCACGTGTGCGTGCGTTCCCAAGATCCCAAACCTCTCAAAAATATTAATTAATTATTTAAAAAGATTTTATGGGACCAGCAGTTAGTGTAATGGCTATGTCACTGGACTCCCATGTAGTTGACCGTGGGTTCGAGTCCTGGACCCGGTGGCTTAAACTCACACCAGGCGCATGTGTATGCATGCCCAAGATCTCGAGAGGAGAATGGAGGAGAAGGGATTGCAGCGTGGCCATCCCCCCAGGGGGTGATTTCTTGCTTTCTGTCTCTCTGTCTCTCTCTGTCTTTCCGGCGAGCGCACGCGCCCTATAGCAAAAACCTCTCAAAAAAGAAAAAGATTTTATATAATATTAAATAGGTCTGTAAGAGCAATTTAGTTAACCTCTCTGTGATGAAGTTTCCTTTCTATAAATTTAGAATAATAATGCCACCAATCCCATAGAGTTTTCAGGATTAGGTAAAGTATTTAGCGCAGTCTGTCTTACAGTAGTCTCCTATTAACTATTGCATACAGCTGGCCCTTTGTATCGACCAACTAATGAACAAATGCAGCCAGACCACAGTACTTGTTAGGGATGGGGGACGAGGTGGCTCCCTAAAAGAGAGATGCCGAAGAAGTTTGTATGTGTTCCTTTTCACTTATATCTGATCCCGAGATTACTTATAAATAACCTAGAGATGATTTAAAGTATATGAGTTACAGGGGTTATATGCAAATATTATACCATTTTATGTAAGGGAGTTGAGCATCAGTGGTTTTGGTATCCACGGGGACTCCTGGAACCAATTCTGAAGACCAGCCTGGTCTGGAAGGTCAGTGACTACCCTAGGAGGATTACTGGCTTATATTTGTTTTAAATGAATCGAGACTAGTTTGTATCATTAGGGTAACTCCAGATTTAGACAGCGTCATTGTGCTGGGGAGCCTGCAGTGGTACCACCGTGTCACTTCCCGAGTGGGTGGCTGGCGCCCGCTCCCGAGGAGCCGTTCATCCAGGTGTCCAGTTGCTCGTTTTCAGTTCCAGGGCAGATTCCCTCCATGCAGAGCCGACCGCGAGCACAGCTCCCAGACAGCGCGTACAGGCCGTCCGTGAGCGTGAGCGTGAGCACTTTTAGAATCATGTGTGATGAATTTTCTGAAACTTTTTTTTTTTAAGTCCTAGCAGGACAGAATGTTTCTTTTCATTTAAAGAATGTATGGGTTTTTGCACTAAGAAAGTTGTGGGATTTTAATTTCGAGTATTTATGTGGGGTGGGGAACACACTTCAGGAAGAATTTAGGAGAAAATGATTGAATTCTTTAAATAAAAACCCAGACCTTTCCCCCAGAAAAGGTGTTCTTGGATGTTAGCCACCATCCTCCATTATCCAAACATGGCTAACCTGGCAGACGATTGACAGGACAGATCCCACTAGCCCACGCCTGGGTTTGATTTTCTTTTCCCAGACCAACCAAGTCCATTGGCAGCCTGCTCTGCCAAGAACAAAATAAATACATGGGATTTTACAATAACTAAGTATTTTTCAGCTCGGAGCCTTTTTGGCATTCCCTTTCCTAGAAAACAAGTTATTCAGGATGGTGTCGAGCTTGCAGTGATACTGATGTTTTTTACAGATGGGATAGTCTTCCAGTCATGGGCAGTGTAACCTGTTACACAGGAAACTGGGCTTTCTGAAATTAAACCGAACGAGTGGCATCTGTTCAGAAGCTAAGCTAATCGTTTTTAAGAATTATTTTTTATTTAACTTTATTATCATTATTATTTTCCAGTTTATTCAGAGAGAGAGAGAGAGAGAGAGAGAGAGCGAGGGAAAGTGAGAAAGGAAGCCACCAGGTCCAGGATTTGAACTATCGTCAGCCATGTGGGAGTCCAGCGCCTTTAAGCACCATGCCACCTGCCGGCCCCCGGAAGCTAATGTTTTTAGCAAACGAGGGAAGTAGATAAGCACACCTTTGACACTTTGCTTTAGACTTTTTCAATATTTTTAAATGTCCATCGATCTTTTTTGGTCTAACATGGTATAAATGGGCTAGCGCACAAGTCTGTATTTTGAGAGATTGTAGTGTCATGGTATGGGGCATTAAGTCACTAACTTAGAATTTATTGTGTAATTTTCTTCACGGAATAAGAAGTATGATCAGCAATAAAATTAAGTATAAAAGATTAATTAAAAAAATCTTCTAACATGGTTATCCAGAGAACGATGAAGTAAACCCTTAGGTGACTGTCTTTGCAAGTTTGTATAGGTGACTTGGAATGGACCGCGTGACCCTTTTATTCTTTGTAAGTAAAAAAATTTCACCTCCTTCTTCTTGATGCTTGTCTCTTTCAGGTTATCAAAAGAGTGGGGAATAGTGAGGAAAAGCCAATGATTGGAGACAAAGTTTATGTCCATTACAAAGGAAAATTGTCAAATGGAAAGAAGTTTGATTCCAGTCATGATAGAAACGAGCCATTTGTCTTCAGTCTTGGCAAAGGTGAGAGGCTATTTTGTGTGGGCGGGTGGGTGGATGTGGGTTGGGTGTGGTGTTTTGCTTTAGACAGGACCTCACTGTGGTGTGACCCTCCAAGGAGCTGGGACAATAGGCGTGCACTACCACACCAGGTTTTGGGGTGGGCCGGATGGAGCCTGGGCCTCCCGTGTGGCCTTAGCCTGCCGAGCGGCAGCATCCAGGGGCTCTGCTGTGGCCAGACCAGAGTGGATTTTTAAGTTGTGTTTTATTTGGCGTTATGGCTATTTTGTATTACATAGGAATAGTAGGTCCTAACCTTACCAAAAGTAGATATTTTGGAGCAATAATACTCAAAACACTACTTAGAAAATCTTTTCATTCTGTTCAAAATCCTAGGAAACGTGAAAGGCTCACTCACCAAAGTGTTTTACTCAGAATCTGTGTAGAGAAGGTAACAGCGTGAGTTCTCAGCGAGTCTTAATTCCTCTTTTTTTCTTCCTTCCTTTTTAAAAAAAATTTGCCGGCAGATGTGTATGCTTGCCAGAGACGGGGAAGGGGAGAGCACTCCCTAGGGGGCATGGGCAGACAGCCCCTTCTCCTTCGTCCTGTTGGGATTTCAGGCAACACATGCACACCCACACCATGTGTTTCTCAAGTCACTGCACCTGGGCTTCGAAACTGCGCTCCGCCATGTGGGCCCCAGAGTCCTTAACCGGTAAGGCTCTAGGGCTGTCACCAGTTCTCAGCAATTTTCTCTCCTTTTTTTTTTTAGTTTTCTATATAGGCCACGTGTGTGTGCCAGAGAGAGGGACAGAGAGAAAGTGACAGATTACCTCCCAGTGGGGATGGCCATGCCGCAGTCCCTTGTCCATTCTCCTATTAGGATTTAGGGTGCACCTGAGCCCAGTGTGTTTCTCAAGCCTCTGGGTCCAAGACTCGAATCATACAGTTGACCACGTGGGATCAAACCACTTTGCCCTCCAGCCCCCTCAGTGTTGTTGTTTTTGTTTTTGTTTTTTTTACACCATAGGGTGCATGGCCTCCTCAGAGGAGAGAAGTGGAGAGACAGAGGGCAAGTGAGAAGTGGCACCCCCAGGGAGGATGGCCATGGCACAAATCCCTTCTCTTCTCCGGATTTTTTGGGCACACATGCATCTGGTATGATTTTCTAGCCATTGGATTGGGGACTCACAC